AACAATAAGTTTGATGAACAAGTATGATGGACCGGTGACGTAGTACGATGTATGCATAACACAACGTATGCTTTTTGCAAAACTAAAAACCAAAAATTAGTGAGCTTGAACGACAAAACTATCTTCAATCATAAATTCTCGATTCACAATAACTATCTTGGTTTTGGAGAGCGCAAATAATTAAACAGAAAGGCATATGAATCACTTCCTAATTGACATCCTATTAAAATGATACAAATCGCTTAATCCGTTTTGTATTTACTACCGTAGGGTAATCTTCGGTTGAAAAATATTTACTTAAGAAATTTATACATTTTTTCTATTTATCTATTTTTTTACTCAAAGACTTTTTTCAGACTTGAGGGACAGTCAGAAAATTCACGGTTTTGCCCCAGTATACGATCAGTATTCTTTGCTTATGTTTACTTTTAGGATAGTTAATAGCAGGCGCGAATCTAGGAATTTCTCGAGGCGGTGCAGATTTTCAAGACTTTTTTAAAATGATCTATCAAAAATTTCACGAAGTATACGTTATGACACATTGAAAACAATAATCGTATTGCGCTTGGATAGCCAGTTGCTGTTTAAGTAGCACAGAAATTACGACCATTAGAAAAAAGTTTATATTTTTCTCTTCAAAATGAGTCGTTTTTTGTTCGGGGTATCATGAGAGAAAATGAAAGTCCAGAACTTCGATAGTAATAGTAACTTAAGTACATTTGACAACATGATTCCTCGTAGAGCACTAAAAACTTTCGAAAAAAGTTAAAATTTCAAACCGGTTTTCATCAACACTGAGAACATATTTTGAAAATCACAACTGAAAGAACATTAGTGTGATGTTTCATTCAACCCACTCCACTGATCATGCGGTACCTAATTTAGCGACGGAAACAGAAAAATAAACAAAAAACTCAACTGAAGACAAAATTCCTCCACATTTTTAATGGTAAGACAACAAAAATCGCCGGTTGCTATGCAGGTAGCTTTGAATGTTTTGACCACATGTACGTAAAAAAAGTACAAAGAGAAAATTTTTCTTTCAAAAATAGGGTCGTTTTTGCATGTTGTGATAAAAAAACTATATAAGAAACCATGATCTTCTTAAATGATTCAGTTCATGTGCAACTTTCTAATAGATTTAAATGGCATGACACGGAGCCGGAATGCCATTTAGCCGAAAAAAATATTGATCAAGGAGAGCGTACGTTTTTTTGTTACGTAATAATTAAGGGTGGGTTTTTTTTTCTTCAGACAAATTTCGACTTTTTAACTAGCCATTTTTGACAAAAATTTTTCTATATCATTCGAAAAGCATTGTTGTCCTCAGCCTAAATTTGAAAAAATGTTTCACCTGTGATCATTTTTTGTAAAAATACGGGGGTTTAAAGATTGTCATTTTGGCCGATTTGGGACAATCGACGGACGATATATTTCGCGCTATTAACGCGTAAGGGGAGAAATATTCAATCTAAGAAATCGTTCCAAATCGGTTGAAGGAAGCTTATTTGCCATATATGGCGTGTGGGGTGATGATTTTCAAAAAAATCTCAATTTTCAGTTTTTTTATTTAGTTTTTACATTTAGTTTTTTTCATGTTTTTTTTTGCTCCATAGATTTTAAAAGGCAGTCGGAACATTCAGGGTTTCGTCCTGATACGAGCAGTCTTGTTGACATTTACAGGCCGGGTTGGAGTTAGTTATTTTTTCGCGTGACCAGGAGTGTTCGGTTCGAGGCATTAAAAGTCGGGGCGTTCCTGGTAACTAGTTACGTTACGACCATTGTTAGCTTCAAGTCATTTTTTTGCTCAATTTTTAACTAGCTGGAAAGTTTAAACGTAGTTTTTTGTTTATACAATAATGCGGTTTTGCACGTAGACGCTGATTTATATTCCGGTAAGTTTGACTTTTAGATCAAAAAAATGGAGACAATCTTGTTAAAATTTCGATTGATTGAAAAACTAGTTTAAGCAGATAGCTCATGCTATTAGGCACACATGATAATCATAGCGCTCTCATTTTTTTTATAGATTCCAAAAGCAAATACAAGTTTTTTTGCTTTCTCTTACTAATGAATTAGTTTTACAGCTTAATATTTTAATTACTCGTACAAAGTTGTCTGGTAAATGATTTTCAGCACTCCTAAAAATTTTTGGCATTATTATGTTTTTGTAATCGCGCACTGAACCGACGTCATCGGCGAAGCGCTATGTTTTTGTAATATTAGAAATGAATAAGAAAATATAGCAAAACCTTAAGCAAAATTGATCGCTTTGATTCTCTCATGTACACCCAGTTTAATTTATGAGGAACTAGCAAATCGCTGATGCTCTCAAGCTGTTTTTAGAAACCATTAATCATCCAAAATTAGGTTCAAATTTGCTTAGCGGTGACTTACCACTTAAAACTACTAGCAAGTCCATGGACTCGATTAATTTTTTTCCGCTAACTAGTGCATCAGCGCTAATTGTTTGCTGGTTGGTTGGTGAATTCCCATAGGTCCCAACATTCATAGCTTCTAAAAGAAAAATTCAGTCGAAAAAGTCCCAAAATTTATCTTCTTGAATTCTGATTGGTTGAAATTTGATTCGACGAATTTATGGATTTACTGTTCAAGCAGCATAAACTCAAACTGCAGAATAGTGACCACCGCAGCCGCGCCAACGTGTTGCGATTGTTCCAACAGAGGGTAGGACACTATACGAAATTTAGAGCCGGTTATCGCCGCGAAGCGACCTTAAACCAAGACTCGGCTAATTTAGTCTTTTAACCAGTTGAAAAGATTTGGGGCTTATGCGGCTGCTTTTTTATTTTGAAACATATGGGACTAATTTTTAATTTTGGGCTCTATGAATACGCATTGTTTGGTTGATCAAAAGTCATTTTCGGGTCTTTTCGGGTTTACCCCACCCCCTTTTAAATAGATAAATTGGGCAATTCAAATTTTGATGTTGAAATTGAAAGCGCGAAAGCCAGTGAACTCGATTAATTTTTTGCGCTAACTATTGCATCAGGGCCAGAGTTGGAACCGGGCTCAATTTTAGAATCAGCAACCCGACCGGGCCGGGCTCAGGCCTGTTTTTCAAAGAAAAATCACATCTTTAACCATTCAAGCTTCAAACGCCCAGAGGGAGCGTGACTACTGCAGAGCTGGGCAAATCCGTACAGCAAAGCTTGCCCTCCCTTCTGCGCCAAAAAACAGCCATATCGAACTGCTATGATCAGTTGCGCTATGATCGTAATGGACTCCCTAAGTTGTGATTTTTTAAAAGTTTATATTTGAATTTCAATTTATTTTTCAATTGGAAATTTTTGTTTTTCAACCGGGCCTGACCGGACCGGGCCCGGGCTTGAAGCAACTGGGCCGGACCAAGCTCAGGCCTCAAATTCAGGCCCAGTTCTAACTCTGATCAGCGCTAATTGCTGGCTGATTGGTAAGTCAAAAATCATTTTTGGGTCTTTTCTGTTTTACCCCCCTCCCCCTTAAATGAATAAATTTGGCAATTCAAATTTCGAGTTGAAATTGAAAGCGCGAAAACGAGCGAAACAAACAATAAAATACCACCCGCGTGCAATCAGCAGCTGTTCGATTACGAAACCTATCAATAAATTTGCCATATACTTTTGTTTCCTAATCGAGCAGCTGCTAGTTTCACGCGAGTGGCTTTTAATTGCTTGTTTTACTCGCTTTCGTGTTTTCAATTTCATCTCGAAATTTTAATAGCCAAATATATCCATTTAAGAGGGGGGAGGTGGGGGTTCAACCGAAAAGACCCTCATTTTCTGCAAAACTGCTCAAAAAGTACAAAAATATTTTTCCCGAGGGAACTGTCGACTATCTCTCAACTTAAGACATCAGAAATACTGAAATTTTTTTAAAGTGACACATTGAAAGTTTCAATATTTTTTTGAGGCTGAGCAGTTGCTTGAATATTGCTTGAAATTTTGAAATATCCATCCTGTATTGTTTTTAAGCCGTTACGTATTGGGTAAACTAGGTGTAGATTGCAATGAGGGTGGCGTACGAAGGAGACGAAAGTGGTCTCAGTGTAACAAAAAATGCTCTTAACTAATTAAAGCTTGATTACAAACGGCTTTCTTAAGGTTTTAAAAAATTTGCTTTTTTTGGAAAAACGCGTATCATACAATTTTTATGCAAGGAAAATGTATGGTAAACATTTTTTTTCCAAAAAAACTTAGTTATGATTGGTTAGCATAGACGCAGAAATTAGTACAAATCATTTTCCAATGATTTTTTTGAAATTGTATGAAAATTGTATGAGTAGCATTTTTCCATACATTCGGTGTATGAAATTGTATGATAACCGATTTCGGTGTATGGAAGTCAACCCAGGGTGGTTATTAGTAGTTTTTTAATTCGGGTTCACATTAGTGCGTATATGATGACTCAATCTTTTATAGTCGAGTTATCTTTAATTTAAACAAGTGGGGACACTAATAAACTTCAACAAATTCAATAAAAGTAGCGCGAGTTTTTTTATACAATGGGTTCTGTATTGCAATGAAATTGGGTCTTATTTGCTAACGGCCGGAAATCAATATATTTATAATTTGAGCTGAAAATACTGCGTTCGAATTTGATTGGTTTTTTTTGTAAATCAAAATCAAGCTTAATGATCAGTTGTTTCAATTAACGTTTTCAGCAAAAACTATTAGCTGAAATTACAGAAATTGTAGAACTTTCTCAATTAATCAAATTTTTTTCATAATTTTTGTGAAACTTTCCCAGACAAGGAAAATTCAGTTAAATAGCGTTGAATGGAACAAAGTTTTCATATTTTTGGTCGTCTCGACTGCTAATTTTATCTGCTTGAAGTTTTGAAATGTCGGACCATGTTGGTTGAATTTGATTGGCACAAAAAAGTACTGACTATGGTGCTTTTTAGTGCATGAGACCCGTGAAATCATTATAAGCTTTTTTCTAACATCCGAGTTTCTTTGTCTCTAAAAATTTTGTAAACGTTGCTATTTTTGTTTCAGAGCAACTAACACCAGCTCTGCTGGGCGAAGCACTGGAAGCCATCAACTCAAATAACAAAGCGGCACTCGCCACTGCGAACGGATCGGCTAAGCGAATGTCTAGCGGCCAAATCAGCCCACCTCCTGTGAAAACTCCAGCTGAAATTGTGGGCAAAGTGCCGAAAATTCCTCTGGTGATCACGGAGCCTACTCCAAGTCCATCAGTCGAAGATCAAAACAAGGAAACAGAAGATAATGCTGCCGCCTGTAACATCAAAACAGATAACTTTGTTACTACGAGTGACAAAAAAGCGCTACTCACAATTCCCGAAAAAACAGCTCCCGAAGTCATTAAACCTTTAACAAAACTTGTCAAAAAATCTTCATTGAATTTCCGGTCAGAAGTGAAGCCAAACCAAGTGCTGAAATTCAGTCAAACTGTCAGAGGCCCAGACAAGAAAGAAGATAAACCAAAACATCACTTAGTTATAGAAAGAATCGACGAAAGACGCGGTAGCAATGGTTTCGTTAACGCGGCGTTTCTGTCTGATGAGCAGTCGGGGTTGATTTTCGAAAGAATAAGAAGCTACAGTCAATCCGATTCTACCGTGAAAGTTGTCCCAGATAGCCGAAATGAGATCGAACTGACATCTTTGGACCAAAAAAGCTCAACTCTACCGCCAAACAAAATCAAAGTCACCGAAATGAAGAATGAAAATGAAAACTCGGAAATCAATGGCTCCGCTATTTCGCATGTCAAAAATTTGCCCCGTCTCAAGGATGAAAATTCAAACTATTCTCACACCGTAATGAATGGAGTAGTCATTACTTAATTCGTTTTCTGTTTATTTTGTTTATAAATATTTTTTCAAAAAAATGGACCAATTAATGAAATCTAAAGAATTTGAAAAATTTATCAAAAAATTAGCGCTTTTATTGTAATATCAAATTTATTTAATTGCATCTGATAATATTGGCATAGAATAAAACTGAATGTTTTCTTTCATTTTTTAAGAAATTTTGAGGTAAATATATCTAAAATACTTTCTCTTGAGCGCATCAACAGGTCGATGTTTTTTTTAGATTCCTTCCTTGCTATCGCAAATCAATCTGACAGGCAGTTGAAAGTGAATACAAACATAGATAAGACTGCTCGTATGAGGGCGAAGCCCTGATTGTTCTGATTGCCCTTAAATGGCTAAGAAAAATTCAAAAGTGGATGAAATTTGAACTCAGGGGCGAAAAATTTTTTGAAAATTTAAATTGAAAACTTATTTGGAAAATAATCTTGAAAAATGTCCAAACAATTACACCTACAATAAATCAAGTCTGTCGCTGACGCTATAATTTTGTTGTCATATAAACCTGTTGTCATAACAAATCCAAGCTACAGAATTTTTGTTCCGACCATTGGAAATGGGGAGGAACTTTGTATTCGGGTCTGTCTTAGTTTTTTTCCACGCAAAATCAGCTACCACAAACAATAATCGGACTGAGTTGAGTGATATTATATTGAAGCCCTTTAAGTCGTGATTCGAACCACATTTAAAAATTTCCAAAAAGTTTTCCCAGTTTAGAGAAAAACGGTTTAGAGAAAAACGGTTTTACTCTAAAGAAGTTAGTTTTTGGAGGTTTCAGCTTCATGTTAGGAATCGAAAACTTCAAATATTTGGGAACTAATTTTGAAAAATTATTTTAAGAAAAAAAATAAATTTTTTCTTGATTTTTTTTTCGTTTTTCTTGTTATTTGTCTTCAAACTTTGTTTTCCAATTTGCATACTTTTCATGACTGACGAAAATGCCTAAGCTCTATTTTTTCGCTCAGATTCATTTATCATACCAAGTTGAAAAAAGGACACTAATTGCAAAAATGGTTTTGTTGTAACTTTTAAGACTGGCCGGAACATTCTGTGCTGCTTGCACAAAAACCGGCTATCCTTATTTAAAAATACTGTTGTCACAAAACTGATGTTGTAAGAACTGTTATCATTGAATCTCCAAGCTGCAAAGTTTGAAACGTTTTCACGACTAAACGTTTTCAAGTTTTAAACGTTCCAAATTGAAACACAAAACTTATGATTTTTTGCTTTCAAAATTACACAATTTAGGTTGGCTTAGTCAATATCACATTTGGCCGAAACTTTTTGAAAGAAAAAAACTAAAGAAAGCATAAATAAAATAAATATAAGATACGGTAAAAAAATAAGATTCGGTAAACTTACATATAGTTCAATTATAGTAAAAAATCTTTAAACAGAAATAGTAAAAAATCTTTATGACATACGCTGCTGTTATAAGACTCGGTCTCGAGTACGAGAAATTAGTAAAGAGAAAACACATGGCACAGAAAAAAACAACAACACATTCTCTGAACACGTGTTAGATCAATTTTTTTTGCAATTTTTAGACGCATTAGTGATTCTAGGAACTCGCAACCAAAAAGGTTTTTTTTATCACAAATTGTCCAAGAATTGGAATCTTTCAAGGTGGCATCACCTAGAGGGGACATGGTTTGAGCGTATGGGTTGTTGGGCTAGTATCTGTACTTTCCATTGCCAGCGCGATGTCTAATGGTTCTCTTTGTAACCAGCAGCTCAATCGATGCCTTGTGTGCCGACGTCACGCGAAGCATTGCCCAGTGCTTAGAGACGTAAGCGTGAATTTTGCAAAGCATGCAAGTGTTTTTCTTGGGGTCACTCGACATTTTTGCATTGTATTTGGCCAGTTATGATTAGTGTAAGAAGCCACAGATCTTAAGTGTTTAGTAGTTGACTCATAAGCCTTCGGATAGAGACTTTTGATGTTCACATTATTGCGCTAGTGGGATCAAAGATGGGAGACTTGTGTTCTACAAACTCCTCTCAAAATTGTTTAAAAAGTTATTTATGAAACAACAGATTCCCGAAGTTGTCTAGCATGGCAAACCCGACAAAGCTTATTAGCTATGTGGATCCTATGATGTTATAGGTAGGGTTGTTTCCGGTGATTTTGAGACGCTCTGAAATGTAATGCATGATGGCAAACGCGACAAAGCTTATTCCCGAAGTTGTCTAGCATGGCAAACGCGACAAAGCTTATTAGCTTTGTAATCCTATGGTGTTATTGGTAGGGTTGTTTCTGGTGATTTTGAAACGCTCCGAAATGTAATGCGGGTAGCTAGGCAATTTGGTTTTTTTAAAGTAATTCGCTTCCTGAAGAAATTAACTCTCAGTGATGGTCATTCAATTGCCAAGAGTATGCTGAGGAAGACTGAGACAAACAGCTTAGTAATTCTAGAAAAAAATTAAGATAAAACTGAGTCCTTCCGCTTTTTTTAAACTTACACCTCAAAACTGAAACCAGAATTTTTTCAGGCAAAACAATTAAAAAGACACTATTTTGTCAAAATAGGGTGTTTTTAGAGTTCTGGGAGCGCTCGGAAAATCATACTCGTCGACCTTAAAAAAGTCGACAAAGCGTTTCATGATTTTTTTTCAAATTTTTTGACAATCCGTCCTTCTCTCTCGAGAAAGTCCTAGATCTGCCCTTTTTTGCAACAAGGCAAGCAGCAGTAAGAAAATTTTCATAATCAATTTATTCAAAAGTTTTGGAAACGATCAGCTCTGAACAACTTCATTGAACACAGACAAAAACAAGACTGCTCAAATCAGGGTGAGGCTCTGATTGTGTCGACTGCCTTTTAAGGTCTATGGGGCAGTATTAAGAAAAAACAAATGTAAAAAAGTAAAATACATTTTTTTAAGTTGAGCTTTTTGCAAAACTCATCCCCACACGCCATAGAAAGTACAAAGTGGTAAATTTTGCTCCTAGTAACAAATCAATTATGGCAAATAAGTTCCTTCAACCCATTTGGAACAATTTCAAGATGGATTAAATCTCTGCTTATGCGTTAATAGCGCGAAACATATCGCGCGTTAATTGTCCCAAATTAGCCAAAATGGCAATCTTTAAACCCCCATAACTTTACGAAAAATAATCACAGGTGAAATATTTTTTTCAACTTTAAGCTCAAGACAATAATACCTTTTGAATGATATAAAAAGAATTCCGTGAAAATGGCTAGTTAAAAAGTCAAAATTTGTCTGAAGAAAAAAAACCCAACCCGAGCACAAATATTCCGTTACTTTCGTTACGAAATTCGGAACAACTAGCCCATTCGAAATAAGCATTCAAAAAAAGTTTGAATTTTTTTCCTCACAACATTTTTTGTCTCATTTCGCAATGACAACCGAGCACAAATGGAATCAGCGATGACAAATGGAATCAGCGATGATTCATAAAAGCCAAACAAAACTTGGTAAAAAAAATATAAAAACAATACATCCTATGAAATCAAACTCAAACTAAACCCACTTTCAGAACATTCAACAGCTTCTTATTCCACTCCCAGTAGGTAAAACAAATTTACCATTTAATTTTGAGATTCAAGAAACCGGAGCTGCAATATCGTTTTCATTTTCAACAAGTAACAGCAATTCAATTCTTCTAAGTGTTTCCATGTGCAATAATGTGCTTCATGTGCAAAAAACTGCTTCTCAAAAATAACAGGTTTTTTAAAAATGACACCAGACAACATAAAGAAAACTTCAAATTAGAAAAACACTTGGATCATTGGATGTGACTTAAGAATTTCGATCGACGTTTCGTTTTCCGCAAACTAAAAACTTAATTGGGGAGTTGGATATCTCCAAGCATTTTTAAAAAGGTTTTCTGCACGCCGATGCTGGGAATCTAAATTTTAATGTATCATTTCTTTCAACTGTTTTTTTAAACGATGGACATTGTAAATTAAATTCAAAAGATAGCTAACAGACGGTGAAAAAACTGTCAAGAAATAAGTTCTTTGCTAAATAAATAATCTTTGTTTCATTTTTTTTTCATTTTTCGAGATAAAGAAAAAGGTTCTTTCACAAACCTGTATCAAATTTGTTTTTAACGCCATATGAAAAAATTTAATCCGCTAAAATAAATTTTAAAAAACTATCATTAGTTTCTCTGAAAAAACTTGCAATTCAATTAGGTGAAACTTCACTTTGTTTCTTGACATTTTTAAGCGTAAGAAAATGTAAAACATTGACAACGAAATGGAACAAATAATTAATCTGACTGCAATATAATTTCTATGGATTAATTTGAATTGAAATCATAGATGAAAATTTCAAAAAAAAGAAAAAACATCAAATATTTTCTTCGAGTTTTTTTTGGAAATTTAGTAATAATTTTGCTTATGGCAAAATATTGAAAAGACCGAAGAGCATGTCTCAACCGAATATAAAACGATTTCTAAGAACGATTAATTTCCCCATACGCATTACAATCACAAAATGTATTGCGCGTTAATGGTCCCAAATTGGCCAAACTGGCTATCTTTAAGCCCCAATAACTTTCTCAAAAATGATCGCAAATAAAACATCTCTGTAAATTTGAGCTTCAGACAACAAAAACTTTTTGAATGACATTTTAAAATTTGGTCAAAAATGCTAGTTAAAAATTAGAAAATTGTCTGGATAAAAAATCAAATTCTCGGAAAATAGTCGGAAAAACAAAATCAAAAAGTCAAAAAGGAATAGCATAAAGCACTGAAAGATCGGCATACAGGTCTCTTTGCATTTTGAAAATTTTTATTTGACTTGCCTTTCCATTTTTGTGGCAGGGAGGGGGAAAGGCGAGATTAAAAAAAACAGCATATGACGCCAATCGCCTCAATATTTTATCAAAACAACAAGATATCTGCTTTTCGTATGATAATCTGTTTGAGAAATGATAGTTTGGCGCCAAATATAGTCTACAAAACACAAATTTTAAAGCTTTCTTCAAATTACTGAGAAAATTGGTTGAAAATATTTTCAGTTGAACAAATCGGGACAAAAATAAGTTCAACACAACAGATAAGAACATATAATTGTATATTTGAAATCGA